GGAGACAATGTCACTTTGTCACTCTGAGTAGAGTGCTATGGCATCATCATAGCTCACAGCAACCTCAAACTCTTGGGCTCAAGCATTCTTCTTACTGCTGCCTCCCCACTACCCTGTTTCCCTGAAAATAAGATATTGTCTTATATTTATTTTTTCTGAAGAAGACACACTAGGGCTTATTTTCAGGGGATGTCTTATTTTTATTAAGTATAATACAACAATTTACATTATTCAAATACAGTTAAGTCATCTTCTGGAACCTGACAGGGGGAGCCGACTTTGTTGGTGGGGCTGGTGCTAGTGATGCGTGAACTCCTTTCCCCTAGCCATTCGCATGTGCACAATAGGATGCCTGTGTCCATGATTACCACACGTGCACCCGCGCAAGTACGAATGGCTCTGCTCAGAGAAAGGAGCTGTGGCAGATAAAAGGTATTCCAGTCTTCCTTACCTGTCTGTGCCGAAATGCATGGCGTGGCTATGCAGTATTTCACAAGGTCTTATTATCAGGGTAGGGCTTATATTTAACAAATGCATAGAAATCCTGCTAGGGCTTATTTTTTGGGTAGATCTTATTTTTGGGGAAACACAGTAGCTAGCTGGCACTAGTGGCATGTGCCACTATGCCTGGCTAATTTTGTTTCTATTTTTAATAAAGACGGGGTCTTGCTTTTGCTCAGGCTGGTCTCAAACTTCTAACCTCAAGTAATCCTCCTTGGCTTCCCAGAATGCTAGGATTACAGGCCACAACTAGCAGCCATAAATCCGATTTTTTTTTTTTTTTGGAGACAGAGTCTCAAGCTGTTGCCTTGGGTAGAGTGCTGTGGTGTCACAGCTCACAGCAACCTCAAATTCTTTTTTTTTTCCTTGAGACAGAGTCTCACTATGTCACCCTTGGTACAGTGTCGTGGCACAGCGCACAGCAATTTCAAATTCTTGGGTTTAAGTGATTCTCTTGCCTCAGCCCCCCAAGTAGTGGGACTACAAGTGCCAGCCACAATTCCTGGATTTTTTGGTTATTGTTGTTGTTGCAGTTGTCATTGTTGTTCAGCTGGCCTGGGCCAGGTTCGAACCCACCAGCCTTGGTGTATGTGATCAATGCCCTACCCACTGAGCTATGAGCACTGCCTCTTTATTTTTGTTCTTTTAACTTTCTGGTGAGAGTAAAATACCAGAAAATGTTATAGAAGATTTTCATTTATAAAAGTAGACAGACTAGTATAATGAAGTCCCATGTACTCAGCATCTGGCTTCAAAAATTAACATATAGCCAGTCTTGTTTCCTCTGTATCATCTCCCACTGCCTCCTACCCTTTAGTATGTTTTAAATAACATTATCTTATCTGTAAATGCCTTAGTATGTAACTCTGAGAGAGAGACTTAAAAAAAAATACATAACCAGCTGGGCACCAGGTCTGGTGTGCAGGCCTGTAGTCTCAGCTACTCAGGAAGCTAAGAGGGGGGATGCTTGAGTCCAGGAGCTCTAGTCCAGCCTGGGAAACATAGTGAGACTCTGTTTAAAAAATAAAAAAAAGAGCTTGGTGCCTATAGCACAGTAGTTATGGCGCCACCACATACATCAAGGGTGGTGGGTTTAAACCTAGCCCAGTCCAGCTAAAGACAACAATGACAAGTGCAACAAAAAATGGTGTTTAATAGTGCCTGCGTTATGGCAGGCACTTGTAGTTCCAGCTACTCGAGAGGCTGAGGCAAGAGAATCGCTTAAGCCCAAGAGTTGGAGGTTGCTGTGAGCTGAGATACCATGGCATTCTACCAAGGGTAACATAGTGAGACTCTGTCTCAACAACAACAAAAAAAGGCTAGCGTGTATCTTGCACCTATAATCCTAACACTCTGGGAGCCGGAGCTGGGAGGATTGATTGAGCTTAGGAGTTTGAGACTAGCCTGAGCAAGAGCAAGACTCCTTCCCTACTATAAATGCGCCGGGCATTGTGGTGGGTACTTGTAGCTACTCAGGAGGCTGAGGCAGAAGGATCACTTGAATCCAGGAGTTTGAGGAGGTTGTGAGCTACGCTGATGCCACAGCACTCTAGTCTAGGCAACAGCGTTGCACTCTGTTTCAAAAAAGGAGAAATAGAATCTTGTAGTTTGCATTCATGTCTAATTCATTCAACATGTTTTAAGGACTCATCTGTGATTCTCTTTTTTTCTGTTTTTGTGATTATAATAATCAGTGTTTTAGAAAAATTCATTTTATATTAATGATACCTTAGTATTTTTGATTACTTTTATTTTATAACTATGTATATGTTTTAAGTAAAAATAAATACTAATGCCCTCCTTTATGTATTTCCTTTAATAGGTTTGATATTAACATGCTGTCAAAATTTTCCTCCTACCTGGTGGATCAACATTTGCATCTTAGTCCATTAATGGGAAAAATAGCAAATATTGTACAAAAGAACCTGGAAACCATACAGGACTTAAGGTAAATATATTTAGGGGCCTTGTCTTAAGGCGGAAAGATCCAGAGTTTTGTATGTAGACACAGATTGCCACTCATAGTTATATGACTTAGGCTAGTTTACTTAATCTCTTAGAGGTTAATTATCCTCACTTAAAAATAGGAATAGTAATAGCTGCATTGCAGTGTTACTCTGGGGCTTACACATAGGGCACATAGAGTATAATATAATATTGTTGAGATCTGTGAAGGGTCTCAAAATTTGACCTCATTTGCAACTGGGATTGAGTTCTTGATTTAGTTCTCAACTTAGAAATTCTTTTTTTTTTTTGAGGCAGAGTCTTAGTATGTTGCCCTTGGTACAGTGTCATGGTGTTACAGCTCACAGCCATCTCCAACTCTTAGGCTTTAGTGATTTTTTATCTCAACCTCTCAAGTAGCTGGGACTACAGGT